AAATATAGATCAAATCCAAGCCAAAACAAGGTACATAGTCATAATAAACTTGGAAAAGACTGATTCTGATATACTTTACAAATACATCTGAAGAAGAAAGCAAAAACCTAAAGAAAGAAACGTGAGCACAAATTTCAAGAGTATAGGACAGAGCCAGCCAACTTTTCTGCAGAGACAGATAGTAAAATATTGCCTTGTGTCTTAGCTCTTGTGCAGACAATTCTACTTTTGTAATATGAAAGCAGCTACAACAAACAATACATAAAGATGCTGATTTCCTCTTTTCAATAAAAAATTTATTCTAGATACTATAAGAAAAAGATCTCAAACATTTCAATAAAATGATTCAGTGCTTGCATAACCATTTTAAATATCTCTCTCATCTAATCAATTTTCCACTAAAATGCACATATTGATAGATACCTCATTATTCACCATGTAAAACTAAATTAAATTTCTTACCAGGCAAGAGTCTATTATTAATCAAAGACTTCATAAATTACCAAAATTTAACTTTTAAATTCATCTTTTAAACTTAGCTTAAGAATATGATGCTCTCAATTAAAATAATATGTGGGAAGAATTCTCCATGGATCTTCATTTCTGTACTTCTATAAGCACAACATTTAATTTTTAACTGCTACAAGGAGGATATTATACGCAAATAACCTATAAGACAAGACAGGATTCCACTATAGAGAGACAAGTTCAGTTGGTCAATATAAAAGATAATTCTCTCTTCAGGGCAAAGGGTTGAGCAGTTTTCTTGAAGCTGTTATAAGAGATCTTAACATTGAATTTCTTACCATAAAAAAACTCATTCATGTAACATCCCCTGGGCCACTCTATCAGTATGGCCATGTTACCAATGTAAACATGAAGCTGTGTTTCGTGGCAAAGTATAAAGTCTTTGTTCTAGCCAGGATTCATTCTTCTCCCAGCATAAATGAAACTGAGGCAGGCTAACTTTCAAGTAATGAGGAGATAATAAAGTTATTACATCAAATGTCTTAAATTCTTTCTATTTACCTGCAATGAATACATTACTTCCTTTTTCTAATTTTGCTCTGCTATTAAGCTTGATAGCACAAAATCAAGTAATATTCCACTATACTTATTAAGTTTATTGTCACCTCTTCATCCTTGCTCATAAGCTCTATCAGTGAAATTACACTTAAGTCCTGATAACACATTTAATACTCTTAAAATTAATTCTACCGGATACCTTATCTCTCATTTTTTTGAGGAAATAGAGGCAGAAACTTAAGAGAGAGAGAGAAAACAACAGGTAAATTACAAAGATCTTATGCAAACATATTCATAAAAGTGCAAATATAAAAACGACTAAATAACTAGTCATTCAGGTGAAATTAACATATCCACAAGAAACAATACAAAGGAACCCATGATTTCCTTAAACAGCAAAGTAAGAACCAGACTGAGCCTAATAGAACTGTACTTGAACCTCTGAACAAAAATCAAAATATACTTAAAGAATCAGTACTCAAGATAATACAGAAAACTATTAAGAAATTGTCATACACATCTAAAAAAATAATTAAAAAGAATTAAAAAAATCACCAACATCTTTGGAACTGGAAAAGATCTGGACTTGAAAAACTCATTAGAGCTCAACAGCAAAATATCAGCAAAGAAATATCGAACAAAGACAGCTATAAAACACACAAAGAAAATAGAAAAAGAACAAGACCTATATATAATAATACTCAAAAGACCAATCTAAAATATGTGTTTCTAAAAATAGCAAGACAGGAGAAAATACAAGAAATAAACAGAAACTTCAAAAAGTTGAAGAGAAATACATATCCAGGATAGGAATCAAGACCAAACGACTCAACCCAATAAGATATGCCATAAGCTATAATCAAATTCTCAATCAGACAAAGAGATCCTAAAACAGCAAGAGAAAGAACAATAATATACAAAGGAGCTCTAACATCTGGCACAGACTCTAATACAACCATTATGAAGCCAGAGAGAGTGACATTCAAATGCCGAACAAAAAAGCTGTCTCCAGAAGTCATCAGCAAATCTTTATTTCAAACATGAAAGAGAATAATCTACCAACAAACAAGTGAAAATTACCACCCAACTGTCTACATACAGAACCCACATGATAACCAGCCAACCGAAAGTGGCACATCTCTAAACCTTAAATAACAGTCATCGAATAGTTGCACTATTTGACCACAGTGGTAATGTGGAGGCATCCAAACGGAGGAAAGGAGTGTGTTACTCTACAGGGACTTATGTTGTCATTTGGAATTAAGGTTGAGAAATCTCAGTGGAACCATTACAACCTGAGAACTAAAATGAAATGAAGCTGTACTAAACACTCTGACTCTCATTCCATGGATGGTTAAAAAAAAAAGAAAAAACACTCTGCTTGAGAATCAGGCTTGCTAGAGGCAGAGGAAAATTAGGCAGTGAGTAAACTGTAGCATTTGATATATGAAAAGCACTAATGGGATTTTGTAAAGACACCACTAGAACTTGGAAAGAAAAGGATCAGCTTTAAAAGCAACCACAGGGGAATTGGAAAAGACAATTTCAAAAGTTAAAATATTTAAGCAAGCATTAAACAGATAAAGAGGTTTTGGGAAGATTAGGGCCTAGAGCTTCAGTCATGTGGAAGCTTCTCTTACTCTAGGACACTAGTGTAGGGCAGAGACTTATGATGAGGGTTGTTCTTCTGATCCCCTGCATCGTCCCAGTAGGAGAATCTTTTCTCTTAGGCCAGGTGGCTTCCTTTGTCCCCTTCCTCCCCACTGTTTCATTTGTATTAATAGTAAACTGTCTTAATTTTGAATGCTTTAAAATCATAACTGAAAGTCTTCAAATACAAATCTTAAGATTATGCTAAAATAGAATTTGCTAAGCAAATCCGAGTACAAAAACAGTTGCATCAAGCTTCAGTGTTTACATTTACTATAGCCAATATTCGTGTGCATAGAAAAATATCAATCCAAATGAAAGAATTAACTACAATTAGAAAGAATATGATTTACTCAGTTCCTCTCCTTCTTCAAAACCATGCAGGTAATATATGCTTTGAACACTAAAAATGATGAGCATGAAGCTGCAATTCAAGCCCCAAAGATGCTCATGAAGAAGAAATCCAACAATTCTTGCAGAAACAAGAGAAAAATATTGCAATATAAAAGCAAAGTGACAGAGGAGTTAGACCTTAAGAAAAGATTCAAGTTTTAGAAGCATCATTAGAAGATCATATAAAATGAAGCAGCAGGCTTTGACAGAATTTGAAGCTTATAAGCACAGAGTTGAGGACATGCAACTCTGTGCAGAAGCCAGCATGTCCAACGCATAGTGACCATGTCTAGAGAGGTGGAAGCAGATTAGAAGGAAATTTGAAGAAAGATTACGGAGCTTTGGACAACTTCAAGTACAGTTGAGAAAGACAAAAGATTGGGACTTGAAGATTTGCAGACTGCTCCAGACAGGAGATCCAGGAGCTATTGAAGTCCCAGCGGATCACAACTCTCAGTCAATAAAGGCAGGAGAAGGCAGAGAACTGCACAGACTGGAGGTGGAGACTTAAACAAAACCTTGAAGAGCTTAGACTTGAACAGAAAAAACTATTGAAGATTATGAAGGCAATTGAAAAAAGCTCAGTCCTTTTATGAACGTGACTTGATACTTTGAAAAGGTCACAGCTTTTACAGCGAAAGCCTACAGGCCAGCAAGAAAAGGAAGCTGATCTTAGAAAGAATTTCAAGGACAAGAAGCAATTTTACGAAAAACCATAGGAAATTAAAGACAGAGTTACAGATGGTACAGGATGAAGCTGGAAGTCTTCTTGACAAATGCCAAAAGCTTGAGATGGCACTTGCTACAGCAGAGAACAATGTTCAGGTAAGTAAAGAATATTACAGACAACACATGGATTTCTTTTCCAGTTTTTCTTTTAGATATATTAATTTTGTAGACTGGAAAGTAGTCTGGCTGGCATAGGATCAGCTTCTTTTCATTCACAACATAACATATAACTTCTTCTTTTTTCCATTTTGCCTTTTCCTTTCTGAGAAAATCAATGAAGGGATAATTTTTATTGCCCTATAGCTATTTTTCAGAATTTCAGATATTAAGGGCCCAGAAAGATTAACTTAAAAGTTATTGATATTTATAAAAGTATTTTATTTTATTAATATGTTATATTTTCCAGAAGTGGTTTGGAGAGTTAAAATATTAGGCTTAAAGTTTGTGTTTTTTCTTTTCTTCATTAATAATGGTTTGCCCATTAGTTGATATTTAGACATTGATCAAAAATTGATTCTTTTATAAACCTGAATTTAATAGAGGTATGGCACAAGTCTGGGAGGGGAGCAAAAATTCTCTGTAAGTTTTGTTTTGTTGGCATAGAAAATGTCTTAGCTATGTTTTTTATATCTGTGCCTTGGAATGTTTTAGAAAGGGTAAAATACCATTTCCTGATTGGGTTATATAGCTTGTGAAAATATCAAGTTATAAATTCACACTACTTACAGATTTAAGTATGACTTCTTTATTTTTTTTTTATTTTATTTTTTTCCCAAGGTACCTTCAAGGTAAGGTATGACTTCCAGATGAGAGAAAGCTGATGTTTATAATTTAAATAAATTGTTTGTATTGTATTAGTATCATTCTTGCTTTTTTTTTTTTTTTTTTTTTGAGACAGAGTCTCACTTTGTTGCCCCGGCTAGAGTGCCGTGGCATCAGCCTAGCTCACAGCAACCTCAAACTCCTGGAAACTCCTGGGCTCAAGCAATCCTTCTGCCTCAGCCTCCCCAGTAGCTGGGACTACAGGCATGCGCCACCATGTCCAGCTAATTTTTCTATTTTTGGTAGAGACGGGGTCTCGCTCTTTCCTGAGCTCAAAGGATCTGCCCGCCTTGGCCTCCCAGAGTGCTAGGATTACAGGCATGAGCCACAACGCCCGGCCCATTCTTGCATTTTAATAATGGCTATTTAATCTTTCTTAGGTTCTTCAAAAACAGCTTGATGAAGCCAAGGAGGGAGAAATGGCCTTATTAAGCAAGCACAAAGAAGTGGAAAGTGAGCTAGCAGCTGCCAGAGAACGTTTACAGCAGCAAGCTTCAGATCTTATCCTCAAAGCTAGTATGTCTAACCACAGTTTTGGTGCAATGCTCAGCTAAAACCAACATTTACATGTTTACTCAGGACAAAATTTGCCTTTTCTCCTAATATTTTATTTATTTTTAAAATTATTTTGTTTATTGAGACAGAGTCTCCTTCTGTTGCCCCTGGTAAAGTGCAGGGGCATCATCATAGCTCACTGTAACCTCAAATTCCTGGGCTCAAGCCATCCTCTTGCCTCAGCCTCCTAAGTAGCTAGGACTAAAGGCATGTGCCAAGATTAATTTTGACTAATTTTTCTATTTTTCGTAGAGACGGGGTCTCAATCTTGCTCAGGCTGGTCTCAAACTTCTAAGCTCAAGTAATCTTCCTGCCTTGGCCTCCCAGAGTGCTAGTCTTACTAATATTTTAAAATTATTTAGACTCTAAATATGTTCAAAGACTCTAATGCATTACTAATTATTCATAAGATAAACAATAACTTATTTTTAGGAATACATTTTTTATTTAAAAAATAGATAAAACCAACAGTAAATCAGTCACTAAAAAAAATGAAACACTCTCAGAGGATTTGTCCTTTAAAAACATACATTTTAAGGTATTTAAAATAGTTTATATGTAAATTACAGCACCTCATTTCATCCGGCTTGTTATTAATGTTTGTTTTACATACTAAAAATGATTTGCCCATTTCTGAAGTGGCCAGCGTGCTCATTTCATAGCCCACACTTGAAGAGATGGGTGACCCATGTCAGTTCTGAAGTTATGTTTTGTTCGAGTGTTTAGTGTGGCCAGCGAAGCTGTTTGAGCTAGTTTTTTTGAGGACGTCATGTGATTTTGATTGGCTTATCAGTGAATTCCAGATTTCCCTTCCCTTAAGGTAGTCATTTTTAGTAACCTTAGCACGAATGAGAATTACCTGGAAGGTTTGTGAATCTAGGGCTGCTGGGCCCCACTCCCAGAGCTGCTGACTCAGTAGGTCTGGTGTGGCTGCATTTCTAACTAGAGTTCCCAGATAGTGCTGGAGCTGGATGCTAGTTTGAAAGCCATTGTCCTAAACCATGTTCTTCTATGAGACCCTTTTTTCCTCTCTCTCCTATTCCTCCTGGTTTTTGCTGTAATTTATTTTATTCTTTCATACCCTTGCTGTCCGTATCTGTCTTTTACTCCAAGTTAGTTCTTTATCTAGCTTCTTATCTAAAGCAATGGTCAGTTCCCACCAACCTGCTGTCTGCGACCTTTGTTCCCTGAATACAGATTTTTTTCTCTTTATGTCACAATTTGAAAAAAAAGAAGAGATGAAAAATAACAAATTACTTATTTTGGCTTCATAGTATTAGTCATTGCATCCTCTCTTACCTTATTTTACTCCCAGGTGACTTACATGAACTCTGAGGGGTTGCTCCGATTTCAACCTTTATAGCTTGCAGGCTTTAAAAAAGAAGTGGAATAGTACAGGGAGTAACATCAGTGACGTGAAAATGACTTTCTAATTTAAATTATTCTAGTTGGGTGAGAAGTATTCCCGTGGTAAATATTTCCATTTTGTACAATAAGGAAACCAAAGAAAAATCTGTGCATGCACACCATTTATTCTACTTAGGTATAAAGTACAGTTGTGTCATTAAATATAAACTGTTTTATGTCACGGTTCAACAGAGTTTTTAATTGAAGGGACTTTCTTTTTGGGGGGTAGGTCATATTGGAATGCTTCAAGCAACTCAGATGACCCAGGAGGTTACAATTAAAGACTTAGAATCAGAAAAATCGAGAGCGAATGAAAGATTATCTCAACTTGAAGAGGAAAGAGCTTTTTTGGAAAGCAAAACCCAAAGTCTGGATGAAGAGCAGAAGCAGCAGATTCTGGAACTAGAGAAGGTGAAAAGTAACAGTACCCTAGTCCCAAAAAGAGGAAAGGAAGAAAAGTTCAGTTTTCCTCTTTTTCAGATTTGAAATATTTGACATGTTTATTCCTACTCCATAGTAACAATGCATTTCTTAGGCTAGTAGTTGGTTTTGAAGAAAAAGGTATATAGCTAGACTATCCTACATTGTGTGTATATTCAAAATATATGAATGACAATCTATAATATAAAAGCTTAAGGCATTTCAACCTATTTTGAGCCAGAAACTGAATTAAGTCTTATTTCAGTTAGTGCATTTATAGTCATGTATATTTTTCTATTAATGGAATATGTTATTATATAAACATCTAGGAAATTTCTCTAAAACTGAAAAGGATAACAAGCATCATGCTCTGAAAATTCATATACCAACAGACTGAATTTTTAATTTAACAAGTAAGACGTCATTTGTAGAGTAATTGCTGAATATTTATTCCAGTTTTTCAGGTACCCATAATACCAAGTGGGGGTTTTGGATGTCATTTCCTTTCTCCTTCCCTCAACTACTATCTGTATTGAATGATGCTCATCCTTCTTGCTCCTGGCTCACCCCCATTCTCTCCTTAACCTACTATTACCACTGATTCAGCAACTAGATGGACTGTTGCATATGTCTTTGCCCCATCCCCCAGTGACATCCCAGTTGCTGGACTTGGTGGATCTTATCTTACTGTCATTACTTCCTACCCGCTGATCCACAGTGTCTCTCTTCTCTTGGTATTTCACATTCTCTCACATTTTTCTCCTACCTCCTTGGCCTTGCAGTTTTCTTTGTGAAATTCCCTCCTTCATCTATTCCCTTATCCTTGATGTTCCCAGGCTTTTTGTCTCAATCTAAATGTCTCACACTCATACATTCTAGTAACATCAACCATCACTTGTTCACTGATCGCTTCTAAGTCTGTAGGTCCAGGCCAGATATTTTTCCTGAACTTGAGTCCTATATATCTAACTTTCCACTAGATACCTCCATTTATGTATTTCACAGACATGTCAAGCCAGCATACCCAGAACATTCTCCCCTCAAAAGTACCATATTTCTTTTTCTCCTTATTTCAAGTATAGCACCACTGTCCATCTAGTTGCTAAATCAGAACCCTGGGAGTCATTCTTAATTCTCAACAAGTCCTTCTTGTTTTCTCAACTCCTTTATCTGTTACCAAATCCTGTTGGTTCTACTCCCTTCCTATGTTTTTATTCCATCCTCCCCTTTTCTTTCTTACCCACTCACACATCCCAGGTTTAGGCACCTGTCATTGCGTGGGTTACAGTTATAGCCTCCTGACCACTCTCGCTGCTCATATCACTTAAAATTCAGTGATTGCTCAGTCCCTTCAGAATAAAACCCAAAGTTCTTAGTATAAAGACCCCTTCTCATTATTTGACTCCTACTTCTGAGCCCCATCTCACATCACTCCCATGGTAGAACACATACTATGTTCTACCTGACTGCACAGCTGCATGGACTTTCTGTCTCCTGAAACTTTGCCACCAGTTAGCTACTTCTCATCTTTCAGAATGCTGGAAGTCAGTAGAAATGTTTATGAATGCAGGCTTTTGACATCAGACCTAGGCTTATGATTTTCTCATCTTTACTTTCCTTATGACTTGTTTGTGAAAATTAAATAAAAGAATGTGTTATCACTAGGTCAGATATCTTCTCTTCTGAAAAGTCTTCCCTGATATCTCTCTAGAACTTATAAAACTGTATTGCCACTGTCTTTTGACTTTATCACTAGACTGTGAGTGCCTAAAAGGTGTGTAATTGGCACTCAAAACTGTGTTGAATAATATCGTCTGAGTGGGTAAATTAGTAAGCCATTTTGTGTACTACTTTGACATACAGGAAGCCTTTCTCTTAAGCTTGTGGATGTGCTAGCTCACATCAATTCTAACCCAATAATAATCTGTTTTATCTCTTGCTTTAAAATTTTTTCATTTTCTCTGTGCCACCCTGTCCCTTTCTGAGAACACCAATGATCTGTTCTCATGTTTCGTAGTCTAGGTCCCATAGCACTCAGTTCATTCAAACTTACATATTTATAGTGTATTCAGATTATCCTGGCAGCAATGAAAAAAGCAGGTGCCAATTATTGACTTTTATCTGTTTTAATTTTAGAAAGGAAATGAAGCAAAGAGAACTCAGCAAGAATATTATGAAATGGAGCTAAAAAACCTGCAAAATAGATTAGAAGAGGAGGTAACTCAATTAAACGAGGCACATTCTAAGACTTTGGAAGAATTAGCTTGGAAGCACCATATGGCAATTGAGGCTGTCCACAGTAATGCAATTAGGGATAAGAAAAAACTGCAAATGGTAAGCAAAACGTCAGGTCATTGGCACCTTGTAAATGGTGGGATTTCTGTAATGGTCCAGCAAGACCTATATCAGAAAGTAAAGATTTGCTTAGTTTTGTTGGATGCTGTCTTGTAATTATTCTTTAAATCATGGTTCAGAGTAACATATTAATACATGAAAATTTTTGATATAGGTTGTAGTTTATTGAATTGACATGAGGCATTGCTACTTTGCATAAGCTATCATAGAAACGCTGCTTTTTTGCAGACAAAAATGTCATTCAGGAGAAAACCACTCTCTTGGATCTTGTGCCGTCTTTTCATGAGACAGCCAAATGGATATGCTCCTCAGGAAACCTCAGCTGGTTGAAGCATGTCGTATTCTCTTGTAGATATGGCTTCCTTTTCTGGGAAAATGATTTATGTTTTGCTTTGCTTTTTTCTTTCCCAATTAAGTATTCTTCTTGCTAATAATAATACATGACAGATAAAACTGCATAATAGAAAAAGCAAAGTATCTGACAGATCTTGGCCTTACCCTGAGCTCTTTGTTTACTGGCTCTGCATTACCTTGGGCCCCTAAAGCTACACCTCAGGCTCTTCATCTGACAGAAAATTCAACCTATCTTAAAATGTTACTGCAAGGATTAAGTGACATAAAGTGTTGAGTACCCAGATGTATTCTAGCATATGGTGATAAATCTTAGTTATTAGTGATTCTTAACTATGTGCCAGACACTGCAGTAATGTTTTACTTTTTTTTTTAAATTTAATCCTATGGCCCTGCTGTTGGTTTGGTTGCTATACCTATTTTACTGAAGAGAGGATGTGCTCAGCACATGCGACTAGTAAGTCAGGCAGGCCTTGGGCTCAGGTCTCAGATCTGCCAAACCCCAGGCATTTAAATACTGTCATTTAGGCATTTATTAATGATGGTTGTTATATGTTTTACTAATAGCATCTTATAGTTTACAAGGAACTTTCCTATATGTTCCTTAATACTTATGACTTGGAGATTGGAATCATCTTTATCAAATAGATGGTAAAGTAGGTTTAATAAACCTAAGTTATTTACTCAGAGCCACAAACCTAGTAAGTAGAAAAGATAGGATGTGAATTGAGATCCACCTCAATGTCCCTTCCATTTGTGCCATGACTGGTTGGAAAAAATATTTAAGACCTAAACTTAATTAAAAATTCAAATAAAATTTTCTGCTAGAATGTTGTTTCTTTCTAAACTTACTGTTATGTTTATGTAGCCAGATAAAAAAATTAATGACACGTTATTAAGATCCTCATTGTAGTTTTTTGTGTACCTGCTCGCTATTCCAGGACCAGTTTGTACAGCTTTAATTATGTGGTTCATGTATCAAGTGTTCAAGGTTTTATAGTAAAGTATTTAGTGGTAGCTGCTGCTTCTGTAATCTCTTTCCAAGCTATCTTTTGTTATTATTTTTCATTTCTACATCTTGTTTTCATCTTAGCCTTCATATTGGAATAAATTCCATGTATCCTGCCTTTAGTCTTTCTTTATTCCTCTATATTAAGTTCTAAGTACTGGAATCAAGACATCGTTTATCAGTGTTGTTCTTTACCTCATTGCTTTGCTCCTCATCAGCCCCTTTACCTAATTAAATTTTAATTTTCTAGCCACCTAATCTGCCTTAATTCATTTATATTTCTTAAAATCCTTATTTATTTATTTTTTCTATTTTGGTTATGTCTGTGGAATTCAAATCTTTATTTAAAATGTGGTTCCTATAAGACAGATGACATAAAATTTCCTATATGTGAACATAATCAAAACCTCTATGGCAACTTTATTTGTACCTTTCTCTTTTATCACAATAACTTGTGTATCATTTTCTGCTTCAATCCCTCTCTCTTTTTTTTTCTTTTTTTTTTTTTTTTTTTTTTAGGAAGAATAATGAAGGAATCTTTTTTTTTTTAAGATAAGCCTTGCTTTGTTGCCCTGAGTAGAGTGCCATGGCATCAGCATAGCTCACAGCAACCTCAAACTCCTGGGCTCAAGTGATCCTCGTGCTTCAGCCTCTCGAGTAGCTGGGACTATAGGCATGTACCACCATGCCTGGCTAATTTTTCTATTTTTAGTAGAGACAGGGTCTCTACTTGCTCAGGATGGTCTCAAATTCCTGAGCTCAAGGGATCCTCCTTCCTCGGCCTCCCAGAGAGCTAAGATTATAAGCGTGAGCCACCGTGCTTGGCCTCAATCCTCTCTTTCTTATGTATGGACGTCTGAGCCTTAGCTAAAACAAGTCTTCTTCCAGAATAGTCTTTCTCCAATGTCACATTATCTCGTAGGGAACATTTAGCTAAAGATGACTTCTCTATGCCTTACAATTTACTTATCAAAAAGAATTACAGCACTTTGGTAGGTCGAGACGGGAGGATTACTTGAGGTCAGGAGTTTGATACCAATCTGAGTGACATAGTGAAGACCCTTTCTCTACAAAAAGTAGAAAAATTATAGCTGGGCATTGTGTAGCATGCCTGTAGTTCAGCAGTTTGGAGGCTGAGGCAGGAGATTGCTAAGCCCAGGAGTTTGAGATTGCAGTAAGCTATGATTATGCCACTGGCATTGTTGTACAGGTAACAAAGCAAGACCCTGTCTTAAAAAAAAAACAAAATAAAATTACATTGTGGCATCATAACTCTAGTTCACCCACCCCATGTAGAATGAATACAAGAGAACCCATGATGGCAGAAAAGAGTTAACATAGCCGGCTTGGGACTACTATCCTTAGAATGGCAAGTTGGCCCTTGCTGGTAGCTGGGAACTTGATTTTGGGAGGATTCCCACCATTCCCTGATTAAGAATTGCTCATTGTGCTAAACTTGTGTATGAAAATGATGTGGTTTATGCCAAACCCTGCTTCTTTTCTGGGAGTCTGAATTTGGTATGTCACAGGGGGAGGTAATATGTGACCATGGCCCAATAAAAAAGGCTGGGCACTGAGTCTCTCATCAGCTTCCCTGGTAGACAGCATTAGAGTCATGTTAACTCTGATTATTGTTATGTAATGGTAAGGTAAATTGTAGACAAAGTATCAAATACAAAACAGAATAGTCTTTTCTTGGATTCTTCAAAGTATATAGTATTTGCAATATTGTTAATTTTTTAAAATTTCTTTTGTAAGGGATTGGAGAACAACATAAAAAGGAAAACTAAACCTGGAGAAGATAAAATCATCTTCGGCAAGAGGCTAGAAAACCTGAAGAAAATACTGGAAGATAAGTTGAATACAGCAATCAAGAGGCAAGAATTTTTTTTTAGGCCTATCACCAATGTTAAAATATATTAACACTATTAGTGACTTATTTTGGTGAACATTGTATATGTAGGTGAGCCTCCAGTGAAGGTTAACATATCTGGAGTAAAAAAATCAAAAAATTTCAATTTATGCTGAATTTTTCATAATTTTGGTTATATCACACCAGGTAAATATTTCCTGTTAAAAACATTAAACCAAGGTGCTTTTGTGGGGAGAATCAAAGGGGAACATCACTGTGTGGAAAAGAAAACAAAAGAGGTTTCTCTGCCCTTTTATAAAACATTAGCTTAGTATTCTGTATACTGTGTCTCTACAATTTCAATAGAATTATAAGATGATAGCTAGAGTCAGTACGCTTAATCTGAGTACTAGTATACAACACTACTCTTTTAAAACTATATGTGAATGAAAGAGAAGAGCAAAGTGAAGTTTCGACCTCAATTCAAAAAAATTCCACATGGGCTAAGGATTAAAATGTAATACAAAATCATGAATATGAATATAAATAAAATATGAAAACACAAGTGACGAACCTTAGGACAAAGAAGGCCTTTTGAACATAATATCCATATCATGAATTAAAAACAGAATATTTATATAGTTAAACCTGAAACTTCTGTATATTAAAATATATCATAAGCAAAATTAAAAGAGAGGAAAAATTGGGATGGATGGAATGAATAATTGACATATTGTATGACTAACAAAGAATTCATGTCTTTAACACCTTAAGAGTGTTTACAAAACAATAAGAAAACTACAGATAACCAATTTGTTTTTACAGACTGAAGAAGAACATGAAAAAACAATTTGTTTTTTTGTAATTTAAGAACTGTAAATGAAATCAATGAGATGCCACTCCATTACAAATAGAATGGGACCATGCAGTGTTGATGAGGGTAAAGAAATAAGCACTCAGAAGCTGCTGGTGGGAATATAAAATTCTATAATTTTCCACGAAAGAGATTTAGCAGCACACATGAAAGCCTCAAAGATGGTCCTTTGACTCGGCAGTTTCATTTCTGTTTATTTAACCTTAGCAGATAATTATGGATTATTGACCAAAATCAGCATTGTTTATGGAAGACATTTAGAAGCAACTTAAATTTTCACAGAACTCTATCTAGAAGAAAGAAGGAGTCTTTTCTAACTCCCTGGAGTTAGCATTGTTCTGTGCTCCAGGGCTATTTGCATGCTGGGAGGGATTGCTTTTCTCCTGTTTAGAGGTGCCATATGGCCTAACAGCTGCCCTGGTACAAGTGACGGTCAAGAATGTGAGGGCATCCAGGGTCCTTTTAAAAATTAAATACCTACATATTGAGATGTTAAAGAGATTTCATTTCTTCTTAATTGCTAGTAGGTATATATGAATTTTTTTCTGTGATTGACTCATTCATTTGTTCAATAAATATTGAATGGCTGTTAGATACTAAAACACTATGTTAGGCTTGGGGTTTCAGTGGAGTAAGTTAGACATGGTCTCTACTACCATGGAGAGACAGACGGAGAAACAAGTAATTACAAGTCTGATGTATATTGCAAAAGGGTAGTTAGTGATTAACAGGGTCTTGCCAGAATCATAAACTGAAGAAAGTTTATGTAAAGGCCCTGAGGTGTGAGAAATTTCTAGGTATTATACGAATGCCAGTATAGTTGGAGTATGATAGCAACTATAATAATAATTAATATTTATTTAGTGCTTTCTATATCCGGCATTGTTTTATAAAGTCTCTTCTTTATAATATTCTCTCCTTTAATCCTTACAAAAATGCTGTGCAGTAGATACTAGTTACTAAGTCACAGAAAAGTGATATAACTTGCCCAAGACTCATAGTAAATAGGTAAAGCCAGAATTCCAATCCAGGTGGTATGATTTCAGAACGCAAATCTTAACTGTAGTGCTATTTTTCCTTTCAGTGGGTATAAGGCCAAGAGGGGACATTGCCAGGCTGAGGCTAGAGATTTAGGGGCTATGCCATGGAGGCATTATAAGCCACATGAAAGATTTTAAATGGTATCCTAGGAGCAATTGGGAAGCAGTTGGAAGATGTTAAGTGCAAAAAATGTGAATTCTTGCTTGGGGGACAGGGCTTATATACATGTCCATATTTGTAATTTATAAAAAATCTACTTCGGTGTTGCAAGGAGAATGGATCAGAGACGAGCAAAGGTAGATAGATAGATATTCCAGGGAGATTTGTACTTACTGTATTCCCTCAGTGTGCACATTAATAAGAGGAAGCTGACTACTAATCTCTATTGCAAATGACAAAAATCTCAACTCATACTAGACGAATGAAAAAAGGAAATTTATTGATTCATGTGACTAAAAATTCCAAGGATAATGTTAGCATTAGGCATGACTAGATTCAGAACTGAAATTGGTGAGCTCAGTTTGTCTTTTTCTCTTAAGTTGGATTTGTTTTTTGTGTTGATTTCATGCTTCAGTCATGTATTCTGCAGGTACATGTGCAGCTGGCAGAAAACATTTTCCAGGTACCTTTGCAGTCCTGAGATCACTGTGAATAGATAAGCTTAAACCATGTGCTTGTCTTGAGCCAATCCCCATGGCCAACAGTGAGGCGGCTTTACTGGTTTATGCTTTGATCAAGTGTCTCATCCTAGAGTTTGAGTTGAATCCCTACTGAGAACACCCAATAGAGAAGGAGGGTAGATTCCTCAAATGTGAAAAGGAGATTTTGATATTGGGATACAACAGATGTTTTCTACATGTATAGATTTTTATTATATTTTAGAAAACAAACTTTAATCAGTCATGTTATGTTTATCATTTATTATTTGCTTTTTATATTTTATTACATTTAATTTTGCAGAATTTTAAAGTTTTTGCCCATTTAGATATTCTTTATCTCTAATTAGATTCTTAGTTTTTGCAATAGACCTCTATTTTAATTCTTTATATAGTAACTGGAATACTGTTCTTTATAAATTATTTCATGTATTGCATTTGTATGCATAACTATTACTCATCTGAAAGTTTTCTGGATTGTGGAAGAATATTCTCCATGTTGATAAATTTGATTGTTCTTTCCTTACTGATTGTTAACCTAATTTTTACATGTTGCTTTCTAGTTAAAGAATCTTTTCCTATATATTCTTGAATTTAATTATTATAGTAACTCCATGAGGTGGATATTATTACTCCTATTTTATATTGGCAGAACGTGGACTTGAAACTAGATTTTCTGCTAAATTCAATACTCTCCCAACTCTTAAAGCTTCTTTTTTTATATATAGTCATTTATTTATCACTACAATACGTTTTTTAATTCACATAGAAGCGTTATTCTGTGCTCTGGGGCTACTTCCCATGGCCTTTATCGAAGGCCCAGGTCAATAGAAAAAGCAGGGAAGATACAAGTAAGTGATATAGACTAGAGAAAAGGGACACATATTTTAAACATTATAGGTGAATACTATGTAACAATATGCCAATAAATTTTAAAAATTAGGGAAAGGTTTCTTTGTATGTAAATTAAGTTTTTAAAATGATTCAAAGTAATTTAACTATCTAACTAAATCAATTATAACCATGAAAGAAAATGTATTTTCTTTGACATGTATGTCAAACATGTATTTAGAGAGGTACTAGGTAGGCCCAGAGGATGTAAATTTACCAAAATTTCAAGAAACAGGTAATTCTTTTGCCATGAAAATATTTCAGACCACAGAATAAATGGGAAACTCCTCAAATCATTTTATGAGGTTAGCATCTCTTTAGAGACACTAACAAGATAAAATGCTACCACCAGCAGTATTGTTCAGCATATGCATGTGTCAGCATACACCTGCACAGAAACAGGACAGGAAGCCTGTGTACCTGGGAAGGGAATTGTGGGTCAGAGAGAGATTGAAGGAGAATTTTCACCATTTTATTTTTGATGTCTGTACTTATAAGGAAGACCATTCGGATATTGTTCTTAAATTATCAATTTTAATTTATGTAGAATTTTCATAGGCTTAGCCATTTTATAAGAACAGAGTTTTTACTTCATAGCATTTTTCTAAATAATTTAAATTATTTTATTTATGAGTTTTAGTTCTCATAATTTTAGGGTAGGGATTTGCTTAAGCACCAAATTATCTATTAGCTTCTAACTTGATGAGTATAAATTCAACTCAAAGAATTCATGAGACAAATTTTGTGTGGAAACACAGAAATCATAGTTTATTCTAGTTTATGATACATTTACCAGCTTATCAATATTGGCCTAAATTTATCACCTTTGTAAATAACAGGAGATATGTACTTAAATATAAGTGATTCAATTTTAAAAAATGGTTTTAAAAATATTTTTATCTAAATTTTTTCAATCTTTGATATAATCTTTATCTTGATTTAATTCCTTCTTATAGGTATCTTATTATATGATAGAACCAGGAATGCTCTTTGTTAAACCAGTAGTAGCTTGAAAGGGATATCCATTTCTTTACATGGTTGCCATGAAAAGGGGAAACCTTAAATATGGAAGTCTTTTCAAAAGAATCTTTTATTTGAGTCCTTCTTTGAAATTCATCAAGAAATGGTCCAGTCAGTAAAATTACAGCTAAAGTAAAAACTTTAAGAGGAAACAGTAAGACTGTTTTGCTAGTCTATTATAATAAGGTATAATAAAAGTACTTGATTTACTTGCAGATTGGCCGCCTCCAAGATCTGGTAAGGAAAAGTGAACAAGGTCTTGGCTCTGCAGAAGGACTTATTGCGAGTCTTCAGGACTCCCAAGAGAGGCTGCAGAATGAGCTTGGCTTGACTAAAGGCAGGCTAAAGGAGACCAAGGATGCTCTACTAAATGTGGAGGTAATTTCATAATTTGGTAACCTAAACATCAGCAAAATAAAAGCATAATTTAGCCACTTAGCTTAAAGCTATTTAAACATTACATTGTATATAATTAGTGTATTACTTCCTAGAGCTACTATAATAAAGTACTATAAACTAGATGACTAAAACACAACAGAAATTTATTCCTTCACAGTTCTGAGGACTAGAAGTCCAAAATCAAGGTGTTGGCAGGGCCATGCTCCTTCTTAAACCTTTAAGGGAGGATCCTTCCTTGCCTTTTCCAGCTTTTGGTAGCCCTAGGCATTCCTTGTCGTTGGGTAGCACAATTTTAATCTCTGCCTGTCTGCACGTCATCCACCATCTTGAAGGACACCAGTCGTATTAGGTCAGGGGCTCATCCTATTCCAGTTTGACATCATCTTTACTAAATACATTCGTACTGACCTTATTTCCAAATATGGTAACATTCTGAGGTATTGGAATGGTTAGCACTTCAACATAATCTTTTGGGGAACTAATTTAACCCATATCAGTTATAATGTGCACTTCTTTTACTGGTAAGAGTTGGAACTTTCACATATAGCAACTAGGTGCTTCTCTGTGATCTACAAATTTCAGAAAGACTCTGCCTTTTCCCTTCCATTCACTCTGATGAAGAACAGCAAAGATTTAGATGGCCTTAGACACTAGAGAAAAGAATCCATAAAACTGAGGGGATAGCAGCCAGAGAGTTTTTCTTAACCTTTTCCTTCAAAGAGGTGATTTAGAGTATAGGCTCTGAGTCAGTTGGTTGTATGTGAGTTCTGGACCTAACACTTAGCGTGAAACTTTGGGCAAAGCCTCAGTTTCCTCATCTGCACAATGAAGGAGGGGTGGGGATAACTATACATTTCACACTGTTATTGTAGTAATTAAATGAGATAAGCCATTTATAGCACAGTGCTTCACAAAATAGTGAGCATTCAGTAAATGTTGCCTTTTAATATTATTTCAAATTTTATTTTTACGCTTAGAATTGGTGACATTTCAAAAACATGTAAATAAGAACACTTTACCTTGTATATGTTATTTTATTCATGTCTAAGATATAATTATATTCTTTGTACCTTGAATACTTATTACATTCTATTTTTAAATTCTGTGGCAAAATGGATTCTTTCATTTTCATTGAATTGTCTTTTCCTTCTATTAAACTTTATCTAATGGCTATGTGATGTGACAGTGTTAATATAAAACAAGATATTGGATAGTGGTGAAATCTGAGAAAATAGGAAAGTGGCGTAAAGCTGAGCTGGATGACCAGACCTTATGAAGAGGTTTTTTTTCCATTTCCAAAAATAAAAGGTAGATGATGTTTTAAGGTAGCAAAAATGTATTTAAAAATAAATAGTTGAAATACTTCTAACAAATGTTAGTTGAATACAAGTTGTATTTATATGGTACCTCTTGCCTTGGTTTATCCCTGTTTCCTGGCTTTAGGGTATTTTGTCCTCGTTGCATTTTCCCCTCACTGTCTTGGCACTGAGAATTGAGCTTATGGATTCAGTTTCGTTTCTTTAAGGTCTTTTTTCATATTTACATTGTTCTTCTATCAAATAGTAGAAAATAATAAAAATGTTAAGCAAATCATATCAGCTTGTTGATTTTCTATCTGCTTGACAGTTTTAATTAAGAAAATAGAGGTGCTACATCATGGTTTACCACAACTTTGTGTAAGCTTCTTAAGAGCAAGTGTTCTTTTGTACATCTTTTCCTCAAACTCCACCACAATAATATCTAAGAAAGTGCTTCACATCGAGTAAAAGAAATATATTTTAAGTAATCTACTTCATTTAATATTACCTTCGGAGGGAAAAAAGTTATTAGAGGCAGAGCACTTAGTGAAGAGGACAGCTGACTAGGATGGCTGCATTTAGTTTTCAACACTTACTGCTTCACACTGGCTTGCGTCTTTCCCATTCATGCATCTGGATATACCCCTGAAAACTGCTGCACCACATACATGCTCTTAGCAGGGATAAAAAGGGCCACTGTGCTCACAGGAGGATGGATTATCTGCTCTTCTTCTGCCTTGTACCCCAAGAGCAACTGCATTGCTGGCAGGGACTTGTGGCTGCCAGTGTTGTCCAAACAGGTCACCTCCATCCATCCCTAGGCTCCAGAGTATCACTTGATTTATACGAGTTCACAGGGATTTTGTATGTATTGGATCACATTACCATAACACTGAACACATGGACCGCTCGTTTGAAGTTACATAATGGTAGGCTAAATACTACATAATTATTTTGATCATGCCATGGGGTAGTACATCTATAATACTTAAGTTTTGAATAAATACCATACTTTTGAATATGATATGAATGAATTTGAAAACATATCTATGTAATGTGTAAATATGTGAAAATAATTAGATAATCTATTGTTAGATACTTATGATATGGAAGGCTTAATTAAAATGATTAATGCTGACTTTAAAGTATTTAAATACTTTGTTACATTATAAGCTTGAATAAAATATAGTCTGAGAAATGATATTTAAAATTTAAAATGTTTTATATGTTTTTTGTCATAGAGGCATTACCAATTTTTGCAATAGAAGAATTTAAAAATTATAATATAAGCACTCTACTTAGTTGAAATAACCAGCAGTATCTTTGCTTTTTAAGACTCGTCTTTATTGAAAAGTTTTTATTCTTCAGGATGAGCTAGAACAAGAAAGGCAACAGCATGAAGAAATACTTGCAACCATGAAAGAAGAAGAGAAGCTCAGAGTGGAGAGAATGGCCCATGACTTAGAAATCAAGTGGACTGAAAATCTTAGGTATGCTTTTTACTCTATAATGTAATCTCACCAAATACTGATAGGCAAGAACATTTTTATCTTGTATGGCTCATGTTGTCACATTATTAAAGACATAGCAGCAGTATTTTAAAGGCAGTTTTTCGATGATTAGATGCAGAGCAATTGGAAATCTTTTTTTCTCTGATTTCATTTACTTAAATATAAAATAGGCAGAGAACTAACCTGAAGTCAGAAGATTTATTTGTTCTAGTACCTATTCTGCCATTAATGCATTGGTATATCAATGATTTTGTGTAAGTTACCAATTTACCGTATAGTTCTTAACTATAAAATAATCTACTCTTACTTACAGTCACAGACTTTTGTAGAGGATTGAGTGCTTAGGAAACCTGTGAACGACTATGCTACAGTTACCGAAGGAATAATTCTCTTTATAAAGTGAATGCATTTATTATTTTATTCTAGACGGGAGTGTTCTAAACTTCGGGAAGAGTTAAGGCTTCAACATGAAGAGGATAAGAAGTCAGCGATGTCTCAACTTTTGCAATTAAAAGAGCGAGAGAAAAATGCAGCTAGAGATTCATGGCAGAAGAAAGTAGAAGATCTCTTAAACCAGGTAATTAGTCATGTGTACATTATGAATATTCATTTCCCTTGACATTGTCTAAGGAAATATTGTAAAACATTCTATGTTAATTCACTGTATTTTGTTATTTTTCATAAGCAAACTTAAGATTTTAAAAATATATAAAATCAGGGAGACATTCATAAACTTATGAAACATTGTGCTAAATTATTGTTATATATGTAGTCCCTACTTAGTGAAGAAGAATTTATAACTTTATAGTTTAAAATTTGAACTAAACACATTCACAATATTAAATGGGAAAGTTACCTATTTTTTGAAAGTATAAAATCTTTTTTTACTAGATACCATTTGGGCAACAGAAGGTAAAATTTATTAAATGTATCCTGATTACCTAAAACCACTTATCAAAAATGAGCAGTTTACTTCTTTCTCACCAATGGGATATTGGCTTTTATGCTTCAAAATGCTTTAATAAAGCTCCTTGGAGAGAGTATTACATAAACAAAAGGTGGTAATATTCCTAAATCTATCTTTTTATGTCATGCTTACCTATTTCCAGAAGATTTATAACTATAATGAAAAGAATTTGCACACTTTTACTCATTTACACAACTTCTAAATTTATGAATTCTTAGCATTCTCCTGCAAAGCCAGTAATTAAATAGGACTGACTGTGAGTCACCAGTTGATAAGCAAGTATAGAACTTGGACAAGCAGCAGCTCGGTAATTTAGCACTAGAAATCCACTATTATCTTTCTATTTGTGAGCATGATGAACTTCAAAATAAACAAGATAGGCTTTTTGTAAGATGATTTGTATGTATAAGTACATATATGTAGCGTCCTTCAAAAGCCAGATGCAGTGTTGCACCTGTAGTTTCAGCTACTTTAGAGGCTGAGGTCGGAGGATCATTTGAGCCTGGTGTTCAAATCTAGCCTGAGCAACATAGTAAGAAGATCTGTCTCAAAATAAATAAATAATAGTAATATTTGGGGCTAGGACCTGACAATTTATGTCTGGTATTTTGTAATAATTTATAATGTTACTCTGAAAAGGGACAATACCTATGTGTATGCATGTGTGTACACACATATACACACACACGCACACACACAGAGGACTTTTTGTGAATCATTTGAAGCCTTTGAAACTCAGACAAAAATAAGAACAAGGAGGATAGTAACTCATACCTATAATCCCAGCACTTTGGGAGGCCAAGGCAGAAGGATCCCTTGAGTCCAAGAGTTCAAGATCAACCTGGGCAACATAGTGAGATCCCATTCCTACAAAATATTTTTAAAAAATAGCCAGACTTGGTGGCAAAAGGAAACAGCTCTTACCAGAAGTTGGATACTTTACATTCCACTTAGGTACTGAGAAGGACAGATTTTACTGAGTAGAGTGGTACTAATCCTAAAATCCTAGAAGTCTGCCTAGATTTTCAACAAGAACTTATTGACCATAGACATTTTTTGGCCAGGCTTGCTCTGTAAAGTGAGCCCACCACTTCTCCCACTCATTTTCTATTAAATTATTTTATTTATTATTCCTGTAATCTCTCATAGTAGAATGTCAGATTTCATCCTTCTCTGATTTGTCTTTTTTTTGCTTTGGATGTCTATTCAACAAGGTTCATTCCTGAGAAGACTTAATGCTTTGCATCTTGCGGTTCTGTGTATCATAAAATCATTTATTACATAGTAGTTTCAGGTTTTGCCAGCTCTACAGAGAGATTTTTTTTATCAGTTTTCAAAGATTAAATATAAATATCAAGAAAACCAGGAATTAATTGTCTCCAAAGGTAGAACTGTTCTGTGATGCTCCATGCTATCCAGCCATTCCCAAGATTGTAGTATCTTCCTTTCTTCCTACTTCTAAAATGTATAGGGTACACACATTAGCATAGATAAACTAGAAAATAACTGTTGTACTCCAGGATTTCACTGAGAATGTAAGAGAAACCATAAAGGAACAAATCCTATGATTTGATGGACTACTTAGGGAAAGGAGAAGAAAATGTTAAAGGTGATTTGGGATTTGAGCAGAGTAATGAAAAGGAGACCATCATCCAAGACAAGTGGGTAGAATGAGCTACTCATTTGGGTTGGGGTAGGAAGCAGTGGGGAGTCAAGAGGGTAAGTTTTGTTTTAGATATACTGATTTTGTAAGCACAGGGTATTTCAGAATTTTTCACATTCAGTAAGAAAGAGCAATGACTAGAGTAAGAAAAAGAGACTTACAATAAGTACTCCTGGTCAAGAGTAATTAGAAGGCCCATTTCATTAAGGTTTATTGCATACCAATTTCTGATTTCTAATGTTGAAATTATAATGTTTTAGAAATACCAGCTTAAATATATGACTAATATCAATTTATCTCTTCTTTTTGCTTTTTTAAAAAGTAATTGCTGAAAAATTTTAAATTAGACACATGGCTCTCATTTGTGCCTTTCAATTATATTTCAGTTATATAACACTGGTCTAGACTATCTAGATCACAAAACTATTGGGTAAATTTGACGTTACAGCTCAATACTCCTTCTGCCACTGCTTCTCTTAGCTTTAAATTAAGTTTTATGTTAGTAAGGAAAGTATTCTCTCTCTTTTAGAAATTATATTTCTGCCTATAGGAAAAAAATTACATTTTCATCAGTTTTTATGTATCTTTTTTTAAGTCCTTTTTAAATGAGTAATAGCACTACCTTTTAATGGAAGAATAAATGGAAGTAGACTCTGAGGAAGAGAGAACAGCAAGAGCCCTGGAATAATCATGTCTTTCCAGGGTAACTCAGTCAGAGACTCTGCCAGATCCCTCAGCGCTGACAGCAGGGAGGCTGGCCCTCAAGGCTCTGACTGCTCTCCTAGACACCAGGAGAGCAGGAAACGTTGTAAAACAGACATCACTTCCATCCTGAGCCCTGGGAAAGAGGTGGCCTGCATAAGGGAAGTCAAAGGGAAAAGAAACAGAAAGAGTGAAGAGAAATAGCATATGGAGAAAAGAGAAAAACCAGCTAGAAAAGAGAATGGGAATAGTTGGCATGACCTGATTTTGCTTTCGCAGAAAATATGGAATGGAGTTAAAAACAAGCAAAAACCAACCAAAATCCATCATTCCTCATTCTTCCTACTTCAGTTCCTGGATTCAAAGTTAACTTGCGATATTTTGCTTAGTAAATTTGGAAGTTTGTCTTTAATTTCTCTTCAGCCAAAAAAATTAATGACATCATTACTTCAGCTGCGTTATATCCTCTTTTATCAGACTCATGCAGTTAGTATTCCTCCTCTTGAGATTTTTTTCCTCCTCTTTAGTTTTCTTCTAATATAAACAGTACTAAATTGTCTTCTAAATTAATCTAGAAGTATTTCATTATTAATTTTTAATTTTCTTTTCTCTACCCAAACCACCATTTTAAATTCATCCAATTCCTAAATTGGCACCTTTAGGAGAAAAGAGTGATGAGATGGAGCTATGAAATCTGTACCTAGCTTTAAAAGAACTATTTAAAATACTAGGCAGTTACTAATGAGTACTGGGCAAGTTTTGTTCTGTGGAACACTATAGTGAAACCTGCCATGACGTCCAGAACAGTTGGTGACTTCAGAGGTGCTAAGGCCCAGGACACACTTGAAAAATACTTATGAACATTTAGATAGCATTATAGTAACAATTCAACTCAATCTGTTTCTGTTTCATGTAACAGAAGATACTAAAAAGAATTAAAATATTTTGGATATGAAAGGGTTCAGTGGTCATGGGATTGTAAAGTTATTTAAGACTGAGTCTTTGAGACAAGAGTTAAGAATAACCTAACATATTAGCTTGTTTCCACCTTAATTTCATTCATAAATGAATGAAATTCAAAAAAGAATTTCATTCTTTTTTTTTTTTTTTTTGATACAGAGTCTCTTTCTGTTGCTAGGGCTAGAGTGCCTCTGTTGCCAGGGCTAGAGTGCCGTGGCGTCAGCCTCGCTCACGGCAACCTCAAACTCCTGGGTTCAAGCAATCCTTCTGCCTCAGCCTTCCAAGTAGTGGGGACTACAGGCATGTGCCACCATGTCTGGCTAACTTTCTCTACATAGATTTTTAGGTGTCTGGCTAATTATTTTCTATTTTTAGTAGAGATGGGGTCTCGCTCTTGCTCAGGCTGGTCTCGAACTCCTGATCTTGAGTGATCGTCCCACCTCAGCCTCCCAGAATGAATGAAATTCATATTATGTTATTACTATTTTAGTTTAAGTATCGAACAATGGTTTGTGACTTATTTTTTTGCTTTGAGAGACTTATTAGAGCCGTGAATCCCACTTCTAAATCCTCGATTTGTTGGTTGCTTTCTTCTGGTAGTATATTTAAAATTAACATTAGAAAAAGATTTTGCACAATTTGCTTTAAGAAATTATAGTACTATATATTAAATGTTGAATTTGGAATTCTTTTAAGCTTTAACATATTTTAGTTGAATTTCAGTGCAAGATTAATATTGGTATTGTTTCAAGAAAGTTAGGAATTTAAGAAATGATGCATCTTTTGTCAGTAATGAGAATTTTATCCTATTGCTTGAGGTTTTTTTATTCAAACTAGAATTGGAACTCAAACAATAACCATTATGAAAACCTGTGGGTATATGCATATGGCATGTCATCTACGCATCAAGCATTAGTAGTGCTTTTTATTAAGCCCTATGGCAATGTAGCACCTTTGATTACATAATAGTATGGTGATTCTGATGTAATTACAATTAGTTTTCTGGGTGTGTCCTATTTCCCACTTCCACCATTCAGTATGGCTTTATAGGCTCTTTGTGATAGCCCTTGGGCTTTTTCAATGGCTCTAGTCTTGGCCTGCATCATTTCCATGTTTATTTAAAAAAAATTTCTAGGTGCTGAAATCTGGGTGTAAGGAATTACTTTTGTATCTACTTTCATATATTCATCCATTTATTCAGTCAAAATTGAGTGCCTCTGGTATGCCAAGCCCTGTGCCAGCCTAGCAGTGGGGTCAGAGTGATCTTTGCCTTCCTTGTGCTTGC